CTAGTTCTAGTCCTTCCCTATTTAAGTTCTTAATGTTACTTGTATGCTACAACCATGTAAGAATCAGCTTACCATAAAATGACTGTCGTTTTCATGATGTGACTTCATCATTTCATTCCGGAATTTTTCACTTTATCTAAATTCTTCCTGAAATTTAGCTGTTCTTGGGAATTTTATTGAAAGGAGGAAATTTTTTAAAGTTTGTCTGTCGGCATCTTCAAGTGCGCGACTACGTTTCCGCACTTTGTTGCTTTGTTTCTGTGCAGGCAAGCCTCACTTCACTACTGTTGTCTCCTGTTCTGATACTGCGTTTTGGGGGATAAAATGGCTTTTATCACAGTAACTAAGTGAATTATTTTTATGAAGTGCATACTCTGTTTAGGGAAATTCTTTTGTTTTTGAGCATGAATTTATCGTTGTTTATGAGGTTACCTTCAAATTTTTTTTGTGTGTATTTCTTCCAGAAGCCTTCGTTGTTTGCAAAGAATTCTGTTTGCCGGAAGGATATACGCCGACAATGAAAAATCCAATGTTAGCTCCGGACTACGGTAGGTCAAATTCTCAAAATACGTCTAGTTTTTTTTTACGTTTTTTTGTGCTTCAAGATGTGTAGCTTCTAGCCTTTTTTTTCAAGCTCCAGTTGAAGACCATCGACAGTTTCTCTTAGTATTTCGTTGCTTTTGACAAAATTTTGTCATTCGATTCACTTTCAGCAGCATTTGTTCATCCGAGACAAAATGAGCAGCGAGAGAGATTTTGAGGTTTCAACACAAACTCACTGCTGTTGGAGTTGGAGTAGACTTCCCCACTACCATACACTAAATTCCATCCTTTCCGCCTTAAATCACAAGGTATTCAGCCATGCTGGATTTCCTTCGATTAGCATGCTTCACAGGGTAAGCTTCGACCTAATTACGGCCGCAAAATACCACTTCACAGCTCCAACCTTCTCGTCAACCTTACTCGACATGACCAGTTTTGGCCGGGCTTCTATCTTCCTTCCTCTGCTATGTAGTTTCTTCCTTAACCTTACGTACACCGCATATTTCTACCTGGTGATAATCACATTACCATTGCCTGGTTGTGTTTTTGAGAGGGAGAAAAATTTCAGATGCTGAAGTGAACAGTCTTACGGGACCCAATCGTATTCTTGTCCCATTCCTTGCATGTGGCGATCTATCCGGCTGGGATTCCGATCGAACGTACGGGCTCGAACTACCCGAACTGCTCGATGATGGAGAACGAGAACGCTATACATACAAGCCTGTGGTGCAACCTCCAACGCAACCAGCCTATAAAGTAAATATTAGCGGTTTTCTGTCTTCAAAAATTTTGTCTAAAATTTAAAAAGTTTAAAAATTTTATTCTTTTTAAAATCAATTTTTGTCGGTATATTATAACATCAGTCAAATCACCAGTGTTTTTTTGGTCTTTTTTGGCCTCATTTCCTTGTTTCAGAAAGCTTGTGAATTAAAAAAAGCGGGTAAACTCGCAAAACCAGAAGTAAAAGATCCGTTTATGGAGTGCGATGTTGCATCGAAAAAAGAAACGAACAAAAAAGAATCAGAAAATGCTGGCAATTTGGGAATCGCCGATGAGCTAGCCGAAGCTTTTGCTGAATGCTTCGCTTTCATTGAAGACAACTGAAATTGACAGTACTGGAATTCAAAAAACCTCCGCCTCATGCCGGCCGAAATCTCAGGGACGTTTTTGTGGTAACCTTTGTCATTAGTATGTTGCATTTGCTGACATTATAATATATTTTACAAGATTTTAAAACTTTTACTAATTTTTTAATATTATTTGCTTTGTCTTCTTTCAACTTTAAAATATTTTCCTATTGTATAGCGGTACGTGAAGTTCTGATCTGTTTTGAGCGGTGATAAATTCAAATAATTTATCTTAATAGCAGATTGTTTCATCCCACTCCTCCTGGCATGACAAGAGATTAAACGCTCTTAAATTGCCATCACTGGGCTTGTTTGCAGCTAAGGGATGAAACAAGGACTGCTTGTCTTGTACATGATACTTTGGTTGTTTTCTTGTTTTCTACTGTGTTATTTTATTGTTATTCACAGAGTATGGATTTTTTGAGCCACTTCTGAATGCACCTGATACTCACAGAAAGTAAAATACGGAAGAAGCATTGGCCTTTACCTTTAGTTCTTGTTATAGATTTGACTGAATAGAGCCCGAAATATCATAGTATGTGTTTCCATTTTAGTAGGATTTTCTGTCAGTACTAATCGTTGATGATATTTGATCTGTTTTTGAGCTTGACATCCCAAAATGTACTTGGCGTTTTCGAGAATTTGAGAGAAAAAATTCTGGCCGAAGATAAGCAATTATGTTTTTTGCGGAACGAGGATGCTTTATGGTGCAAGGAAATCGAGAACAGCTTCAGTGTGCTATTTCTTGAATTGGCTCGTTTATTTGTTACCTTTTTTTACAATGGGTTAAGTGTTCGTTTTTTTTTTTTTTTTTTTTTAACTCTTAATCCCTTTGTGAATAGGCTGAATGTGGTACCCATTTTTGGGTCTAGTAACGTTCGTTCAAATACGTTTAGTCATGACTGAATTAAAATTAAGGTACTTTTATGAAAATGAACTAAGGTATTTTTTATGCGTTTTTTGCAGCAATGCAATGCGAAAAACGCATATTGACGAGAGGTTGTCTGT